GATACCTCAACAGTATGCCTGTTATTGGGGGCATATATGGGTGTGTCTCCCAGAGGGTCCCTGGATTGGCAGGACTGTCTCTGGGCTATGGTAGATTGGGGCTAGAGCCCAGTTAAGGGCCACTTTATTTTACACAATTGGGTGTGAGGTCAACAGGCCTGCCACTGGAGGAATGAACAGGCATATCTCCTACCAGGTCCTTGGGTAGGCAGGACTTCTCCCTACAGCAAAGCAGGGATGCAGCTGAGTCACAGGTCTCAGGATCCACAGCCAGGACTAAGTTTGTGGGCCTTCTAAGGAAGGTATAAACCAACCTGATTCCTCCCATGTCCCCTGGCAAATGGGATCACGGGCAGGACAGAGACCAAGGGCGTCTGGAACTGAGACTACGGGAGAATAGGGCTGTTACTGACATGCAGCTGAGGCCACTGTCAGCTAGCCTGTCACTGGGGCATAGGCTAGTCTTCTCAAAGTGGCCCTCCAAAGACTTGGGCATCACTGGGGTTCTGCATCATCCTACCTGGATCCCAATGGTCCCACAAGGGCATTTTTGTCTGTGAATGTTTGCCAAGTTATTGTTAGTATTGAGGGATATGAGCTGGGAAACCTCATTTTCCACCCTCTTGCCTATGTCAATCTCTAACTTTCAACAGTTTGATTGTAATGTATCTCAGTGCAGGCCTTTTTAGGTTTGTCTTTTTTTTTTTTTGAGACGGAGTCTTGCTGTGTCACCCAGGCTGGAGTGCAGTGGCCGGATCTCAGCTCACTGCAAGCTCCACCTCCCGGGTTCACACCATTCTCCTGCCTCAGCCTCCTGTGTAGCGGGGACCACAGGCGCCCGCCACCACGCCTGGCTAATTTTTTTTTTTTTTGTATTTTTAGTAGAGATGGGGTTTCACCGTGTTAGCCAGGATGGTCTTGATCTCCTGACCTCGTGATCCGCCTGTCTTGGCCTCCCAAAGTGCTGGGATTACAGACGTGAGCCACCGTGCCCGGCCGGTTTGTCTTATATTTAGTCCTTTGATCTTGAATTTGGATATCTACATCATTTCTCAGATTTGGGAAATTTTCAGCCATTCTTTAAATAACATCTCTTTTTTTCCCTCTCTTATCCTTCTTGTACTCTCATACTGTATAGATTGGTCTGCTTGATCATGTCCCATAAGTTCTTTAGGCGTTCTTCACTGTTCTTTCTTTTTTACTCCCTTTTTTATACTCTGACTCAAAAAATTCAAATGACCTGACTTCAAGTTTCCTGATTCCTTCTTCTGCTTGACCAAGTCTGCTATTGAACCTCTCCAGTGAATTTTTTGGTTCAGTTATTAAATTCTTTGGTTCCAGATTTTCTATTATTTTCAGTTTCTATTCCTTTGTTGATTTTCTAATTTAGTTAATGCATCATTTTCCTGATTTCATTTAGTTGTTTATCTATGCTTTCTTATAGCACATTGAGCTTTGAAATGATTACTTTGAATTCTTTGTCAAGTAATTCATATTAATAGGTTTTCATTTTAGGGCCAGTTTCTGAAGATCTATTTTGGGCCTATGATTGGGTCATATTTCCCTGTTTCTTTATGAGTCTTATTGTTACGTTTTTTGCATTTGAAAAAGCAAATGTCTCTTCCAGTCTTTATTAAGTGGCTTAACATAGGGGAAGACCTTCACCAGTCAACCCAGTTAGAAATTTTAGGTCCTCTTAAATCTTTTCTGGGGATATTTCTTCCCTGGGTTTGTGCATGTAATTTCACAAGGAGAGAGGTTTGCCAGTTTCCTTTTCAGAAGCTTGTAATCTCTTACTCTGCAGAGTGTCTGTTTGCAGTGCTACAGGCTCTCTGGAACCATTAAAAGCCACCGAGCTCTCTTTGCAGCATTCTCTTCTGTTCTCTGTGGCCCTCAGGAATCCAAAACATGTCAGTTCTGTCAGCACTCCAAGTCAGGAGAGACAGTAACCAGACATTTGGGAAGCCCTCTGAAAATCTGGAATACTGGACACATGTTCTGCCCTTCTCTTTCCCTCCTGTGGGAGAAACCATGAGTTGGTCACTTTCCCCCAAATCGGCAAGCTCTGCTGGCCTCCATCTTTATTATTGCCAGTTTTCTGGCATTGTAATATGCTTCTAAACTCTCTTTTTCACTTTCTAACATGTAGGTATCCAAAGTATGCCAGAAGCCTGTCTGCACTCCAAGTCTGATGAGACAGAAACCAGTCCCTTTAGTTACTGCCCCCAAAGAGTTGGAATGTACCTTTAGCATTCCACGGGTCTCCCAAGGGAGAAGCCATGATCTTTCTGATCACACCAAATTGTGCTGTTTTTGGGGAGGGGGCATCACAGTTGACACAAGATGGCTTTTCTTACCCAATGTGGTTGTTTTTGACTCTGAGCTTGTCTGGGGTAGTGTGACTTAACTAGCTTCTAGAGTTCTCATAAAGGCTCTTTGAAGGATATACTGTTGTCCCCATGGGGAAATACGGTCAGTGACTTCCCGCTCTGCTATCTTACTAGTGTATTTCTTTCTAGCCATCTTTTTTTATTACTGATTTTTAGCATAATCTTATTGTAAGATAACATTCCCTGTATAATTTCATTCCTATGACATTAGTAGACTTGCATTATGGCCCTGGATATAACTAACTTTTGTATAATTTCTAGTTTCCTTGAAAATAATATGTGTACTGCAGTTGTTGGGTATTGTGTTTCTATGTTTGTAGAATCAAGTTTGCTAATTGCACTATTTTAATTTTCTATATCCTTGATGATTTTGTCTGTTTTTAAAATCAATACTTGAAAGAAGCATGCAAAAATCTCAAATTGTGACTACAAATTTGTCATAAGGAGATCCCCTACTGTCAATTTCTGTTACACATTTTGAGGTGGTAATTATATATATACAAATTAAGAATTGTTATATCTTCCTGAAGACTTGAGCCTTTTAACATATTGCAGTGTACTTTACAATAATGCTTTTCATTCATTTTGTCTTCTGTTAAAAGACATCAATATAAACTCTCTTTTGCCTAGCTTCTGCATGGCACATGTTTTCGCACTCTTACTTTCATTCTTTCTGTGCCATTATTTTTAGTGGTGTCTCTTTCAAAGAGCATAGATTTGGGGTTTGCTTTCTAGTCAATCTATTTTTTTTTGTCTTTAAGTGAAACAGTGGTGCATTTATATTTATTGTAATTATTGATATATTTGCACTTAAATATATAATCTTACCCTTGATTTGCTTCTGCTAGTTGCTCTATGCTTATTTTACTTTGTTTCGCCTTTTAAAAATTATTTTTCATTATTCTATTTTTTCCTTCTTCATTAGATTACATTATATTCATTTATATTATTTTAGTGGTTATCCTAGTTTATGACATGTTATCTACATCTATGAGGTTTATTATTAATCTCAACATTTGCCTTTTTTATATACAATGCAAAAACTTTAACCATTTAACCCCACTTCCCTAACACCCTCAGTTATGTGCACTGCTTTTTATTTAATTCTATGTAGATTTTAAACTCAAAGAGACATCATGTTATTGTTACATATAGTTAATATCTGCTTATATTTTCTCATGTTTACTCTTTTCATTTCTCATTGATCTTTCCTGCATCTCTGATATTCTATCTGGAATAATTTCCTTCTTCCTTAACAGCCTTTACTGTCCTTTGGTGTGGATATTTTCTGGAAACAAATTTTCTTAGTTTTTGTTCAAAAAATTTTTAGCTTCATGTTTTTTCCCAACATTTTTTGAGGAAAAAATGTATATATATGGAAAAGCCTAAAGGATTTTACAAGACCACCTATATATCCACTACCTACACTCTACAATTAGCACTTTGTTGTATTTATCATATACCTATCATTTGCCATCAATCCATCTTATATTTTTAATGCATTTCCCAGTAAGCTGCAGACATTACTCTTTATTTAGACTGTGTCATGCGTGTTACTAACTAGAGTTAAGTATTTATATCTTGAGAGAAAAATTACATACACCAAAATGGATAAACTACAAGTGAACTATGAAATAAAGTTTTACAAACAGATTACTGTCATCCTGGAAATTCCTCCACTCTTATTCTTGAAGGATATTATTGCTGGGTACAGAATTCTAGGATGGCAATTATTTTCATTTAGCACTATCAAAATTTGATTTCATTGACTACTGTCTTCACTATTTCTATTCTAATTGTTGCTTCTTTGAAAGTAGCCTGTTTTTAACCCACTTTGGCTGTTTTCAATTTTTTTTTCTTCTTTTGTTTCCAGCAGTTTTACCATTATGTGTCTAAATATCTATTTTTATTTTGTTTGAGGTTCATAAGGCTTCTTGAATCTATACTTTTGTGTGTTTTGTTAATTTTGGAAGGCTCTTAGCTACTATGTTTTTGAACATTGCACTTTCCCCATTCTCCCTCTAGTCTTTCTGACACTTTAATTACATATATTTTTGACCTTCTATTTCCATGCCTCTTAATTCTTTTATGTGTATTTTCTATCTTTGCTTCTCTTCATGTTTCATTCTGAATATTTTCTTCTGATCTCTTTTCCAGTTCACTGAATTGCTCTTTGGCTATATCTACAGGCGACTGGAAAGACCTTAACCCCTTTTCTCAAACACAACTCAAACACAACTCACAACTAACATCTGCCAATGTGATCAAAAAGACTGGTAATATGACCCTCAACCTGGGCTTAAGTCTGTCATTATAAATACTTCAGGATTCCTAGATTATGCTTATTCCCTAAAACCCAATCACCAAATCTATGGGTAGTGAGGCAACTTTCTCACCAACACCTCTAATGTATTTTATTTACTTTTCTATCTGTCTCACTCCAAAGAATACAAGCTCCATGAAAGCAATATTTTTTAGCTGTTCAGTTCACTACTGTACACCCAATGTCTAAACAGTGCCATGCATATAAGAATAAGCACTCAATAAATATGTTCTGAATGAATAAATCATATGAGGATTATATTTTATAAGAAATCACCAAACTGGAACTTTATGAAAACAGCAATCAGAAATTTTATTTCTTAACAACAGCAACAGTAAAAAGCTGAATTGGTTAGCATAACAACTAAGTAAATATAAAAGCTAAAAAAGAGACTCAATTGGAGTTTGGAAGCATTGATTGTTACTTTTATTATTATCCTCTCCCAAACTGGTAAGTCTTCCATAGATTTAGGCTTCAAAAACCGAAACCATCCTTGCGTCGCCCAGTTTGATTCCCGACACAAATGATATCATCACGGTATGGTGTTGCTACTACCAAAGTCCATTTACTAGAGACAGAAATGAGTCAAGTAGTCCTCTAACTATGGGTGAAACTGATTAATAAACCTTGATTTATTAATCTGTTCCAGTGACCATTTATAGCAACAGTGACCCAGTAGTACCTACAGCCCAGCACCCATTCAAGCCCCAAGTTGTATCATTTAGTTTTACAGCATTAGGTTTCAGACCGGTAAATACCTTGCTCCATCTTGCCAAATCACTTTTCTGCTCCTCAGCCTAAGGGCAAGGGTGGGGAGAGACAGGGTAGGAAAGTTGTGCTGAACCAAATGTTGGCAAATGAAAGTCATCGTTTATCTTCTTACTTTCTTTGTCCTATCTGTAAGGAAATATTTTGTAGGTTGTAGAGAGGCAGTTGCAGCATACCTCCATGGATGGGATCCTTGAGTTTATACATGTTGCTATGAGCAATGAAAGCAAATTCCCATGCACAACATACTCAAGAGGTCTACCATACCAACACTTTTAATCACCTTGCATGTGTGTGTGTGTGTGTGTGTGTGTGTGTGTGTGTGTGTATACACTTTTCTGAAGGGGTCTTTTTTTACACTTAAGATTTCAATCCTCCATTGTGAGTAATGTTTTCACCTGAGTTCAATGGAAAGTTTTAAAGGGCCCTACTGTCTTTCTACCAAGACCAGTGAAATGTTGAAGAATAACATTTAAGTGTTTATTTAACACTGGAACTCACTATACTGCTCTCTCTTAATTTTCTTAATCAGATATTAAAAAAATTAAAAATATATGCTCTTTGTAAGAAGTCACATTTTACAGATATATAAAGAATTAAGCTTCTCTGTTTACTCCCTTCCTGCTCACTTCCTCAACGAATCCAATACTATCAGTCTGGTGATTATATGCCCATCTCTTACTATGCTCATTCATACATAAATAAACATATAAGCTCCCGGCCTCCACCAACATTTTTAGAAAAACAGGATCATAACTCACACATCACTGTTTACCATGAATCAACATATTATGGCCAGTTCAGTTCAGATTAGCAAATGTCAGTTCAGATTAGCAGTTCAGATTAGCAAAACTAGTCAGTTCAGATTAGCAAAACTAGTGTTATCTGTCACTGTAATCATAACATTGGGAATAATGATTACCGTGGTAACTTCATTTTAATGTTAAGACTAGAATTACTGTGTAATTTACCTACCTTTATAGTAGATTCCATGTAGACCTAGTAGTTTTTTTAAACAGAGTAGGTATTCAAGATATATGCTGGATTGAAGAGAAGAATAAAAATACAGAGATGGCTAAACATTATAAAGTTTTTCAAGACCTTTGATGATATATCTCAAATAAAGCAAAATAAAATGAAAGAGCCAAGAATGGGCTGTCAGACTGATGATGTTTTTAAAAGTTACAACTTTTAAAAGTGTGTGCTTTTATTATTATATAAAATACGTAATTGTCCCATGAAATTATTTCAACAAAAAACGAACTTAAGTGCTGATTATAGGATACATTAGTACTTAGGAAATTATTTCAACAAAAGCACAATTAAATACTAAGTGAAAGTAGGGAACATTAATAAAATTGAGGTTAAATTCCTGTGAACTTTGTCTTTCTATATACACAATTGCTTTGCCAATAATTAATTTAAAATACTATTTTCCACAAAGCTGTCTGAAAATCTAAAACAACCTCATAAGGAAGAAAAAGCCTTCTGGGTAGTTGCAAGTAAAAGTCTGATTTTTCTGTTAAAGGTTATACATTTTAATATGATATTCTGATTGATTTATGTAAAGCTTTGGATTTTTCATTTTCTCAAGCCTGTCACTGCAGTGATGTACGGTACATTTTACTATCAAGTTTGCCATAAGCAATAAAGTCGGGGCCCCAAAGAAATTTTAATGTATTTCTCCATTTTTATCCCACAGCTTTCTATTATTCGGTTATTTTGTTTAGAATCGCAGTTTAGTTGATATCATTTTTACATTCATATAAATAATTCAAGATTTTAACTTAAAGGTAAAATTTAAGTAGATTAATTATTTAATAGAAAAGTTTAAGGGTCATCATATGTAAAGTGAAAGTCTAAATGATAAATCAAAATTTACACTAACAGTATTTTTAAATGTTTTATTTTACATTCTAGTTTGCTTAAAGCATTTTTCTCTAACAAGATAAATGAAAAAAAAGGAACTAATTAAATGTCATATAATGTGAAATGGAGACACACCTGTAAGATTCTTTATGAATAAAAAAATAAAGTATGAAAATAACAACCAAATAAATTAAAAAGTTCTTATTGTAGAACTAACAGCTGTTACAGAGGTTATGAAGATGAAAATAGAACAGTAGTCAAGACATCTGTATGTAACCTAGTAGAAAGAATAAGTCCTTAAACAACTATAACTAACATAAAGCAGAATAAATAAGGTTATTTGCAACAAGAAAGAAAGAGAAACAAATTGACAGGGCAGTTCATCTCTTGTGACTAAAGGTATAAGAGTATTTGAGTTCAATCTTGCATAGTCTGTAGGATTAAGTAGTTAAGGAGAGAAGAAGAAAGGAAAGCTGGTAGGACAGAATAAAGCAAGGAAGGAGAGAAGCGAAGGCATAATCAGGGAGTGGCCATTGGTTCAGTATTACTAGAGCAAAGTGGACATGTAGGGGAATCCTGGGAGCAGGACTGAAAAAGGATGCTATGGCCATATGTCAGATAGCCTTCCATTCATGGCTAATCATCTTATTCACTTAGAAAATAACGAAGCACTATTGTGGAATTTTGCGCAGGGAGTCATACACTAGAAAGAAAACCTATATGGCAGTGAAACTGAATATAGAGAATATGAAAGCAAGGATTTGAATTAGTTGTATCTTGTCCAAGAGTTGGGCAAGACACAAATTTAATGAGCGATAAGCATGGGGATAGAAATATGTAAGATACATATTAGGACTAGAATATAAAAGATTAGATAATCTGTTGAATATTCATAGTAAATGAGAGGATAGCTTAAGAGATGATTCCAACATTCTGTGCTTGAGTTACTGTGAGGAGAAGAGTTGTGTTAAATAACAAAAATAGGGAATAAAGACACTTAGAGAGGAAAATGAGTTCAAGTTTTGTATATAATGAGAACGACATGTATTGGTAGCCATGTGCAGCAGCTAGTCAGAAATAAGAACCTTGAGTTATGGAGAAAGTAGATATTAGTAGAAAGACTAGAAAGAGAGTGACTTGAGAATCATCTGGAAAAAGAGGTGAAAATTAAACTTGTAAAAAATACATAATTCCAGAAAAAGAAAATATTGAAAAAGAAAAGAATGGACCTATAAAAAGAACTTGCAGCATATGTGCATGCTGGAGGTAAAAAGAAGAGAAGCTACTGAAGAAGAAAGGAGAAATCTCAAGACAGGCAGAAAAAACGTCAGACTAGTACAGAGGCATATGACCATTATAGGGGAAATTTTCAAAGAGATGGTGGCCCATATTATCAAGGAAAGGCATTAAGGATTATGAAGAATGAAAAAAGGCCAATAGCAGTTCATCAAAGTAATTAAGGTCAAGCTAGATTGCAAATGTGTTACAAAGCAAATGAAAACTGATGCAATTTAGAAAACAGATTGATTTTCAGAGTGGTATTCAGGGTACTGCATTTTAGATATTACTAATATTTAGGGTGGAATGTTAATTTAAGATATGTCTGAAATACAATGTGATTTTGATAAAACATGTAGAAGAGTACCTGACATTTTTGTTCTCCAGCATTTATTCATCTTTCTTTTGGTAATCATACTTCATTTTCTGTCTAAAGAATTCCTTCTCTACCACGTGGGTTAGTTTAGGAGTAAAGCTGGTGACTTGTGAAAGTTTAGCCCTGGACCCTGTGACTGAGAGATAGGCATATCAACTAACTCTGAATTCACACCAAGAATACCACCTTCAAGCCTGTTATATGAAAAAAAAAAAATTAGAAAAATCCCAAATAGTCCTAATTGAGCCAACATGTAACATATTAAGCCATAACAATGAAGAGAAAAAAGGTGCCTAAACAAAATTCCAATGAATGAAATCAAAGAACTAAACAAAGTGATATTCCATGTTCATGGATAAAGACTCAATATTGTCGTGAGGTCAATTCTTCCCAAATTGATCTTCAATTTCAGTCAAAATCCAAGCAAGTTTTTTTTTTGTGGATATGGAAAAACTGATTGTAAAGTTTTTATGAAGAGACAAAAAATCCAGAATGGTCAATACAATATGGAAGAAGAAAAAAGTTGGAAGATTAACACTATCTGACTTGAATATTTACTGCAAAGCTACAGTTATCAAGACTGTGGTATGTGCAAAAGAGACAAATCCATCAGTGGAACAGACTAGAGAGCTCAGAAACAGACCACACAAATATACAAAAGAACAAGGCAAAAAGGAGAAAAGATAGTCTTTTCAAGAAATGGTGCTGGAACAATTGAATAACTATGTTTTAAAAAATGAATCTATACATAGACGTTATGTCCTTTACAAAAATGAATTCAGAATGTATCACAAACATAAACGTAAAGCACAAAGCTATCAAACTTCAACAAGGAAATTTAGGAGAAAATCCAGATGACTTTGGATTTTGCAATGATTTTTTAGATATAATATTAAAAGTGTAATACTAGAAAAAAAGAATTGATAAGCTGGAGTTCCTTAAAATTAAAAACTTGTGCTTTGTAAAAGACACTGCTAAGAGAATGAAAAGACACAACATAGAATGGCAGAACATATTTGCAAATACATATTTGATAAAGAACTGTTATCCAAAATATACAAAGAACTCTTAAAACTCAATAATAAGAAAAAAACCCCAATTAAAAATAGTCAAAAGATTTGAAGAGACACTTCACCAAAGGAGATACACAGATGGCAAATAAACATGACAAGATGCTCAACATTATATATCTTTAGGGAGTTGCAAACTAAAACAACAACGAGAGAACACTTCAGACCTACCACAATGGCAAAAGTCCAAAATACCTACAATGCTCAATGCTGGTTGGGAGGTGGAACAGCAGAAACCTTATTCATTGTTGGTGGGAATACAAAATAGTACAACTACTTTGGAAAACGGTGTGGCAGTTTTTTACAAAGCTAAACATAATCTTACCATATGATCCAGTAATTGTGCTCCTTGGTATTTACACACCTGAAAACTTAAAAACTTATCTTCACACAAAAACCTGTTCATGGATGTTTATAGTCGCTTTATTCATAATCGCCAAAACATGGAAGCGACTCAGATGTTCTTCAGTAGGTGCATGGACAAATGAAATGTGGTAGAACCAGACAATAAAATTTTATTCTACACTAAAAAAAAAAAAAAGCTACATATACATGACAAGATATAGAGAAACCTAAATGCATCTTAATACATGAAAGAAGCCAATCTAAAAAGCTATATACTGTATGATTTCAACTATATAACATTCTGGTAAAAGCAAAACTATGTACACAGTAAAAAGATCAGTTGCTAAGGGTTAAAGGAGAGGGAGGGATGAATAAGTAAAACACAGAGGACTTTTTAAGGCAGTGAAATTATTCTGTATAATACTATAATGGTTGACAAATGTCATCATGCATTTGTCAAAACCCATATTATGTACAACACCAAGAATGAACCCTCATGTAAACTATGGACTTCGGGTGATAATAACGTGTCAATGTAGGTTTCATCAGTTGTAACAAATGTACCACTCTATTATAGGACATTGACAGTAGGGGAGGCTGTGAATGTGTGGAGGTAGAGGGTATATGGGAAATCTCCACACCTTCTGCTCTGTTTTCGCTGTGAACTTAAAACTGTTCTAAAACATAAAGTTTATTTTTTACTAAAAGTTTTCTAAGGTCAACATAGGTAATACTGAAAAACAGCATTTTAAAAATCAGTGATAAAATAACTTGTAAGAGTTAAGGACATGCCTCATAATTGTCCAATAATGTTGAAACTCTTCAACCATGAATACATTTAAAACAAAAATGATAAATCACTTTGGCGACACCCAATAGAGTAAGCTTGACTGGCTAAATAAAGTGACCATCTTTTCATCATTTTCAAATGCCTCTCCATCATGACATTATTGGTAGGGAATGCAGCAGGAAAGAGAGGAGGGAAAGAAACTAGTGTGATAAAAAAAGAAATGCTACAGAAATGGGGTTTATAGATGAAATAAAAGAAAAAAAAGGTCATAGGGAAGATGTGTTAACAAAAGAGAGTGAACCCCAAAAAAGTTGGCACTATTAATGAACACGCCATTGACATTTTCCCAATTAATAAATGGTTCCATTAACTTCTTCTATTGAAAGTATGTTTTTCTAAAAAAAAGGAGTCGTAAGAAAAAAAAGAAAAAACTGTCATAGTAACTGAGAAAATACTGTGCAATTTTTTTGTACAGAAATGGTGGTTTAATGAACAATGTTCCGAAACACTTTTCAAAAATTATATATATAATTAGATGTTCTGTAGTTGTCAGGCACTGAGGACACCTGAAAAAAAAAGAAGGAAAATGCACCATATTTATTCAGTGTCAGTGAATATGACACTTCAATGATGTAATACTGTTATCTAAAATACTGTTATCTTCACAGCCTATTTCAGATAACAGTATTACTTCTTTGAGGTATCATACCGAAGACTAATGAAATATCAAAACAACAAGGTGAACAGTGAGCTATTCGGGTAGAGTGGAACATAGAATGGCTGGAGTGTCTACACATGAATTCAGTGCTTTTGACTGTGTATGTGTACGTGGTAGCAAAAGTAGCAGAAAACTACAAGTTAGGGGTTCAAGTAAACCTGAAAAACATTTGGATAGTGTAACTTTATTCTTGTGGGGGTTACCAGCTTTTTGATAAAAGGTCACCAATAGTCATCATCCAGCCCAATTCCACAACCTATTTTCAATCCTGCCCACTGTCATTCTTCTGAAGAACTGGCACCAACAATTATCCTCTCCTGCAGAAACCCTCTCATCTTGAGATTTTTGGCATTACCATTCTTTTCCTACTTTTGCCGAATTCTTGTTAATCCTCTTACTCCTTCAGATTTCCTATGATGTAAAATATGTAACCGTGGGTGTGCCTCAAGACTTGGGGGAAAGAACACTAATTATACATAAGACATTTTCTAATCCGTTTCTGTCACTACACTCATTTCTTCACATAATTTCAGCTATCATTTTTATGGTAATTAATATAAAGCAACATCTGAAGGATCAGACCTCTCAATCAAGGAATATAATCCAGAACTTTATTCCACAAGGTATCTTTAAATTAAAATTTTACTGTTATCTTGACAGCATATTTAAAATAAAACTCTTTATTGTAATTTTGCTTCACTTTCATCTTCCATTTGTACTTCTCTTTTCCTGGATATTTTTGTAAAGGTTTCATTTCTCCTTTTCCTCTCTTAACCTTTGAATAATGACGATCCAATTTAGCCTCAAACCCTTCCCCTAATGCTTATGTACGGTAACTTAAATGTGATCCTGCTAGATGATTTAATATTTGGTTTTATATTGTCCTCTCATTGTTTAATGTATATACTATTCCCTTTTTAACTGACCTGCAAACTTTTCATGAGTGTAATATCTTTTGTATCATATATAACTCTCAACACTATAAGCATTTGTAAAATTCTTAGTTATTGACTGAGGAGCTGGAAAAAAAAACACTAATGATAAAAATCAATTTTCTTTTTCCTGTCATCTGTTGTTACAGAATTATATATGCAAAGCCAATGCGTATATCTCAGTTTTCTATCAAAATCACTGTGAGTCTTAGATTTACTTGCCTTGTCCTCCAAGTGCAATTCTAAGAAGCGTAGATAGGCCACAGGTGCAAATGCATCAGCTGAATGCATGACTACTTCTGACGAATCCCTGAAATACAAGAATTTTATAATACATTTATCTGCTACAAAAATTGTGACAAATCACTCCTACTGACTAGAAGAGACTGAACATTCTTGTTGTATATTTATTTCCATTGGTATACAACATGTAGTGATTAATAAATATTTTTAATAATCCAATATTTCACTGGGAAAAGGTTCAAGCTTTTAAGAAAAAACAATGAGGCTTTCTATCTTCATAAGAACATAAGAGTTCAACTTTCAGGTTCACTCAAAGCTCTCTGAACAATTTTAAGACTTAAATTCCTGTTCAATTTCATTTTCACATATTTGCTTGGCATAGGCTAAGCATTAAACATTAGTGCTTTATCTTCATTATTCTTTTCATTTTCAAGAGGTAATTCATTCAGTGTTTCACACGAAGTCTCAATTATCCTTCAGAAAAGCAGTACTGGTGATGGTTTTAAGCTCTAGATGAACTCTTCACACTGCAGTATCATTGCTATTAAAATTGATTGTCTGACATAGTAATTACCACATTCAGGTAAAATGGTATGAACTGCATGCTGGCACCATGTGGATACATGCAAATTAACTTGATTTTTATCAAAGATACCCTGTAAAGCACATATGAATAACTAAGATTATGTGTAAAGTTCTAATAACTAATTATTTTTTATTATTTATTGAGAGTAATAATGTTTTGAACTTCAACTGAAAATTTAAAAATAGAAATTCCTCATATCACTTTAATGCCTTGGGAAATACTTCTGTTGTTTATTTTAATAGTTAGCCTTTTGATCATTATAGTACAGCAAAATAAATCCTGACATTGACTTTTTGTCACTAATGTAAAAATATTTTTGAATTGACTTGTATCATGTAAAGTTACTCGGTGGCAACAGAAGAAATCTCAAAATATTTGGATCCAAATTATTAAACTTTCATAAGCAAAATGTTTACTTTCCACTTGAAAGATCAAGAAAAAAGTACATTTGATGATAAGAAACCCCAATTATCATTCATGAACCTTTAGTATCAAATACGTATCTTTCTAATGCTTAGAAAAAATAACATTAAAAAGGCTTCCATGACATTAAAAGGAAAGCAACTTATAACAGACATAGAATCATTAAAGATTCAGCATCCTGATGGAAACATATAATTTGCCTTCACAGTCTACATCAACCAACAATGCCTCCAGGGATGATGAGGAGGAGCAGCACAAAGAGAAAGTACAGACAAGGCCCTCCTGCTTGCTACCACCTGCCCCTCTGGCTTGACCCCAACTTGGTTTGTTAGCCCTAGTTTTACCATTTTTCCATTTCCTCCACAGTTGCCTGCTCTGGTCCTATCTTGGCTCTTGAATCAAACCTCAATTCCTATTATACAATCTTACTCTTAAATTAAATGTCAATATATCTGTTCCAGACCTTAGCCTTGGACATTGACCCTGAGCTTAACTATGTCTAATTCAGGCAGCTTGGTTTTGATATTCTTGACAACGGGGTGTGCCAAAACTATAATTAATCTGAACTAATACTATCTCAGTAGAAAGGGTTTTAGGTCCTCCCTTCTCACATCAGTTATCCCCACTAGAAACAGAGGTATGACAGCGAATAGCTTAAATGATCTGAAGCAGGATTATTATCCAGAGAGAATATATGACATTCTGAGCACTAAATGAAGAAGACTGTGGTTTTTATAAATTCTATTAAATTCATAATCTCTAATTGACTAACATCATTTCATTCACTTATACAAAGCAAGAGTCAACCAGGAGAGACTAGATTTCAAATGAACAGCTTTTAGTTTCAAGCAGAATAATACCACTCACTATTGCTCTTCTCTCTCATATAGTATCACAATGATACTCAAATTTCAAGGAACTCTGATCTCTGCTTCATGGATTTCTCTGAATCCTGAAAGCAGAATCTGTCAGAATATCCTCAGATTAATCCAGAAAACTAAGACAATTGTGCCACAGCAAAAATGCTTCCCAGCTGGCTGTCCTCCTTTCCTTTCTCCATTAATCAGTGCAGCAGTTACCGCCTGTCACATAGCTAGGTCTTTTCCACAGCCAAGAGCAGGCCCATGTTCTCTTCCATTACTACACTAGGCTCACCCCTACTTAACAACATTAAATGGGCAGCTGGGTTTGACTTGGGCCTCTCTTCCTTGATACCAGCCTCCTGAGGTGTGGGGTCGGGCCCTACCTCTCACCTCAAAAACAAAAAAAATGGTATTCCCTCTTGAGACTCAGCCATGGTCTTTGTCTCCACCTCTCCTCTCAAAGGACAACTATGCTAGGCTGGGACTGAACTACTGTTTACCTCTCTTGCTCAAACATATGGTTTCTGTATTCACTAAAAGGTATACAGATATCCCTGACGGACTCACATTTATCCTCAGACATCTCAAATGTTATTTCCATGAAGCCTTCCCTGACATCCTCAGACACTGCTAGTTTTCTCCTTTATGTGCTTAGTATCCCATTTATAGCCCTTTCATAACACATCCACTACATTATAATTATGTGTGTGTGTGCCTTTCTTCTGAGAGAGGAACCAGTTTTGTTCATCTTTGTCTGCCTGTCCCTGTTCTACCCCACCCGGAGCTCTGTATAAAGTACACTGTCTAATATTCATTATATATTTGTTGAATAAATGAATGTACAGTTAAACTTTGTTAACTATCCTCACAATTGCACACTAATTAGTGAAACTATCAGAAACTCGCGATGATTTTTCAATTACCTATCTTCATGTGAATATAGTCATGCGCCACACAATGCTATTTTTGGTTAAAGGCCGTCTGGGTATTACGGTGGTGCCATAAGATTATAATGGAGCTGAAAAATTCCTATCACCTAGTGACATCATAGCTGTCATAATGTTGTAGTATAATTTTATTTTTAAAAGGAATTTAGTGTAGCCTAAGTGTACAGTGCTTTTAAAGTCTACAGTAGTGTACAGTAATGTCCTAGGTCTTCACAGTCACTCACCACTCACTCACTGACTCACCCAGAGCAACTTCCAGTCCTGTAAGCTCCATTCATGTTAAGTGCCCTATACAGGTGTACCATTTAAAAGTGTTTTCATATGATATTTCTACTATACCTTTTCTATGCTTAGATACATTTAAATATACAATTATTTACCACTGTGTTACAGTTATTCAGTCTCCAGTACAGTAATATGGTGTCCAGGTTTGTAGTCTAGGAGCATATGGCCTAGGTGTGTAGTAGGCTATACCATCTATATTTGTGTAAGTACACTCTGGTGCTTGTGAAATGACAAAATTGCCTAACAATGCATTTATCAGAATGTTTCCACATTGTTAAGTGTCTCATGACTGTATACACTTTCTCATACATGCATACTGCATATATAAACATATTCATGTATGCATATATATATATATATATACCAATCACACTATATGATATCTCTACCATAATAAAAATAAAGATTAGTAGGACTGAAAATTTAAATATAAGGAAAATAGCTCATAAATGTAAATACATTCTCAGATGATACAGAATCAGTGTAAGAAAGCAAATAAGATAAAGTACTTGCTTTATCCTCATTTTGAAACACTGCATTACTGTGTTCTGTACCGAGTTACGCCTTGAGGGGCAGAAAATACGAGTAGATGGAGATGAAAATGAGGATAAAGTGTTTTAACCATAGGATTTGGTTCTTCCTTTCTTTTTTCATTCTTATTCTTCCATCCATCCATCCATCCATCCATCCATCCATCCATCCATCCATCCATCATCTATCCATCCCATTTATGTGGCAACTTTGCAGCAGTAATACAGTGATATTGATGAATAAAATAGAACTATAGAATTGTCTCAAATACTGACATAAAAACATATACACAAACCAAGAGAAGAAAATGATTACTTTCATTAACAGAACCTTAAGACTTTAGTTATTAACATACATATATATGTAAACTAAGTAATAAGAGAGCAGGTTTCTAATTTGAGGACCTACAATTATCCTTTTCTCTTAAAAGTTAGGCTATAATTCTTCTCAGGAGGGCTTCTGAGGGAAAAAGCTCATTTTCTCATCTCATAATTTGTATCTAGAAGTGAATGACTTCATATATTAATGGACACAAAAAGTGACTTGTAAACTGTTCTAGGTAAAAATGTAAAAAATTATTTCCAGACAAAGGCTGTTATACTAGTCTTTCCTAAAAACATTTTAAAATGTTAATTGGAATTTGGGCAAAAAGTATCTCATAATAAACTTCAATTTATTTATTATTTTTTATTGTTATTCACATTGTATTTTTTTTTAAGAGACAGGGTCTTGCAATGTTGCCCAGGTTGGAGTTCTGTGGTGCAATTATAGACGACTGCAGCCTCAAACTCCTGGCCTCAAGTGATCTTCTTGCCCTGCCCAAAGGGTTGTGATTACAAACGTGAGCCACTGAACCTGGCATAATAAACTTATAGAACCAAATTGATGTCTCTAAATTAGTTTATTATAGAAAACAGTTTCAATCGTGGAATCTACAAAGAACTTAAACAAATTCACAAGAAAAAAACAAACCCATCAAAAAGTGGGCAAAGGATATAAACAGACACTTCTCAAAAGAAGACATCTATGCAGTCAACAGACATATGAAAAAATGCTCATTATCACTGGTGAGAAATGACAATCAAAACCACAATGAGATACCATCTCACGCTAGTTAAGATTGGCAATCACTGAAAAGTCGGGAAACAACAGATGTTGGAGAGGATGTGGAGAAATAGGAACACTTTTACACTGTTGGTGGGAGTATGAATTAGTCCAACCATTGTGGAAGACAGTGTGGCCATTCCTCAAGGATCTAGAACTAGAAATACGATTTGACCCAGCAATCTCATTACTAGGTATATACCCAAACGATTATAAATCATTCTACTATAAAGACACATGCACACGTATGTTTACTGCGGCACTATTCACAATAGCAAAGACTTGGAACCAACCCAAATGTCCATGAACAACAGACTGGATAAAGAAAATGTGGCACATATACACCATGGAATACCATGCAGCCAGAAAGAAGGATGAGTTCATGTCCTTTCAGGGACGTGGATGAAGCTGGAAGCCATCATTCTCAGCAAACTATCACAAAAACAGAAAACCAAACACTGCATGTTCTCACTCATAAGTGGGAGTTGAACAATGAGAACACATGGACACAGGGAGGGGAACATCACACACCGGTGCCTGTCAGGGGTTAGGGAGGCTAGGGGAAGGATAACATTAGGAGAAATACCTAATGTAGGTGATGGGTTGATGGGTGCAGCAAACCACCACGGCATGTGTATACCTATGGTAACAAACCTGCACGTTCTGCACATGTACCCCAGAACTTAAAAGTATAATTTAAAAACAAACAAAACCCTGAGGTGTTGGTACAACTGCATACTCTCTTGGGACTTTAAAGGAGAATCTGTTCCTTGCTTTTTCTAGCTTTTAGAAGCTTCCCACATTTCTTGGCTCATGGCTCCACGTCTCTCTAGTCTACTTTTGTTGTTACATCCCCTTCTCTGACTCGGACCCTCCTGCCTCTTTCTTCTAAGGATCCTGATGATCGCATTGGCCCACCTGGCCCCTCCCCACCAAAAAAAGATATCTAATTATAATCAAAGAAATCTGCATGCAAGGGGAGGGGGGAGGGATTGCATTGGGAGTTATACCTGATGTAAATGACGAGTTGATGGGTGCAGCACACCAACATGGCACAAGTATACATATGTAACAAACCTGCACGTTATGCACATGTACCCTACAACTTAAAGTATAATAATAATAAATAAAAAAAAAAAAGAAATCTGCATGCAAAAATTTATTTTTTCTCACCTTAGAGGTAGTCTTTTTTTTATAAAAAATAAAATGTCATTTGAATCAGATGTTTGAAATGGGATTCCTAATAAATGATTAGTTGCATGCTAACTGTGGCAGACCACTATTACATCAAATGTAACAAAAGTTATTAAATTTGTCCCCAAAATGAATTCTAAATGATTGGATCCAAAATTATTAATACTCAATTGTTAAAACACAGTTATAGGAACCAAGCTCATCTTTTAATTGTATTATATGGAAGACTGTATCTAAATAATATAACTTTCATTCACATACAGTTTTAGAATGCACAAAACATGTTCACTCACATCTTTGCATTTATTGTATATCAGGCAGGTATGCTTAGGACATTTCAATTTTAAAGAGGAGGGGAGATTTTGTTTACATTAAGTGATATTGTTTTTCTGCCAATTGAGGATACTTCCCAACCTATAACTTCAAGTTATAACCTAAGAAAGGAATATATATAAGTATGTAAAACAGCATATATAAACAAAAATAAACAACAACAAATTACAAATTAGTCCAACAATATTTAGCACATAGCCTAACGTATGCTCTGACAAGTATGGGAACAAGCACTGGAGGCAATGGCAGCCAAAGCATATAAAAATGAAAGGATTTAGCAAAGTGGTAAGAAATGAGAAGGCAATCTAGAGAAAAGGTATCACAAAAGAAAAGTATGAAGCTGAAGTGAGGCATAGCTTATGAAGAAAAAAATAAGCAAAGAATATGTGTAAGTATCAGAATGAGATTGGTGATTGACTCACAAATGAGTAAGAATGAAAAGACAGGGTTTCCTTTGTGTTTACAAGGTACACACCTGCATGGTAGCACCTATCACTTATTGTCGATTTGCCTGTCCATCTCCTCGGTTACAGGAAGAACTCCTACAGAGCAGGGCAGCAACTTGCGGAGTTCTACTCACGCTTTGCAGTGAACAGCTCATTTTAGCACTAGAGGGTTCTAACCACCTTCCCTGACAACTTCTCTTTAACAGCATGAGTAATTCCCTTCATGCCACTGTCTCTATCAGGCTTAGGTTTCCTTGTCTACAAAATGAGGAGGTTGAAAAGGATTCATGTTCTAGGTCTAAAGTACTATGATAAACAGATCTTCTGGTTATGTAGAGTAAAGCAGTACATGTCTTGTAATTCCACGTTGCCCATAAAGACTTTCAGGTGCTCTGGGTGCTCAATTTGTCTGGCAAATGGAGAAAGTATTATTCTTTGGCAGTTTTCCTCTTATTGCTGTGCTTTTTTTTTTTTTCTAATTTGGTTAGTCCCATATTAATAAGTAAATATATCCCAAATTTTCTACTACAATTTCACCCTAGCATGCAAATGTTTTTCTTGAATAATATAACAGTATTATTTCATAGAAGTAATAACTTATCAATAGTTGATTCATTAATTGTTTTGTGATCATCATGGGCAAAAAAAATATGTACTCTCCCATGAATAAACTTATGACTTATTTTTTACCACCTTGTATTATAATTACACACAGATGTCTTTTTCCACTGCTTTGAAGGCAGAAACTATTTCAACATCAGTGGTGCCCAGGAAAACACTTTGGAGGTAATAGGTACTTGATGAGTATTTGTCAAATAAATAATGATTATGGTGATTATTAATGGAAAAGAAATTAGAATAATATGAAAGAAGCAAGAGTGCATGAATACTGCATATGGTAATGAAAATGTCTTGTCATATTATACAAAATAAATGCATTTTTTAAGAAAATCCACCTAGAGTTGTTGTCTTAATTTTCTTAGATCACGCCTTCCGTCATTATTAATATGTACAGAGGTTAAGTCTTAGTGTTAGAAATATTGAAGCCTTCCATTCAATCAATCTTTTCCACAATGCATACAGGCTTAAGAAAAGCAGACAAAGTTCTCTTAGCATATAAAAAGAGCAACATAAATTAGAGCATGGATAATAAGGTAACAATCTGAAGAAAGTTTCTGTTTTTCACTACACTAATTTTAACAATTTATGGCAAACAAATCATACTACTCACCATCAACTAAATTCATTTTAAAACAAAGTTTATTTGTAAAAATAACCCCAAATAACTGAAGAGAAACGTTTAGCATTACCATTCTAAGTTGTTAAAGCCAGGAAAAAGAAAAAAGAGGATGGAGTTCATGGAACCCACAGGCTACTGATGTGGCAGTTTATCAAATGTAGCTGTAATGAAAGATAAATAATACAGGCAATTCACACTTCATGAAAGGATAAAAGTGTCAGTGTGTAGGTACCAGTTTTACTGCAGGCCATAATCAGCAAGTAAACGAAAGTGCAATGTCTAAAAAGTTTATAGTCTTCTATGAAGGCCTCGTCTTGTCAGGTATTGATTTAGGTATTCAGACGACTTCACTGGTATTAAACAAATTGAGTGTTTGTGAACTTAGAGGACATGTTCTATTTTTCCCAACAAAAGTTGCCTCAAGCTTAATGTTAAGTTGCTTCCATCACTTAAATTTATGGGGAAAAAAAAGAAAATGCTGAAATGATATCTTACACAATTATTTTCTTCTTAAATAGAGGGCAATCCAAAGTGAAAGTTTCATACTCTCCACCTTCTCCACAAACATGTACTCCATACTTCTTAGAAAGCTGAAAATAGGAAAACACAAAAAACAAGAAAGAAGTTTGAAATTAGACAGCATAAATGCTATCTTATTTGGTCCCAAAAAATCCATACAAAAAACTTTAATTCCAAAATAGTTTGCAAGGTAAGGAAAACTAATTATATTTCTGCTTAAAACATGTTTAAAGTCATTTCAAAAATGTTATCATAAGGCATAGGATTTCTAAGAATGCCAAAACTCTTACAAAAAAATAACATTAAGATTATTGTAAATTTGGGGAATGACACTAGCTTTAGATTCAAAGCTAGATTCAGTCACAAAGTAGTAAACAAAAATGTATGCAACCAAATTGGGCTCCCCCAACTCTTTGCCTTTAAGTGGAAGGAATAAAAACATTGTGTTTAGAGAATTTCTCAAGAATACAGAAAAAGCAATATAAGGCTTTTCCTTAGGCCCATGAACAAAAAGAAGTCACATATAGGTTTATTATGCTTGCAGTTATTATTAGGAAAGTTCCAAGGGCACTGAGAACTAGTAAAATTCCAAAGCTGCAGACAAGCCTTAAGAAGGTCCAACTCCAAGAAAGGCTGAGTAACTTACAAATTTGTCTAATCAAACCTGAAATTAAAACAAACAAACAAAAAAAACCAAGCAGCAAAACAAAAAAACCTATGATTTGCATTAAATATAAGCCATACTATTTAAATAGTCTTGATATTGAGAGTAAAAAAATCTCCTATCTGTCTGGCATACGTCTGGCATCAGTGCTGGGGAGCACTCTCCTTTCTACTGTGTGCTAATGACCCTTTCTAACAACTTTCCACCAAACGAACCTTCTAGTCGCATCTTAATGACTTATGACCACTCTCTTTATGTGGGGAGTATACCTTATCATTTATTAGCATTCTTTCATTAGAAAATGTTTTACTGAAGTTCTACATAATTTCTGTAATCCACCACCAAGGAATAACTAGAGTTTTTAAACTAAATTTAGTATAGTTATTATCCCATAGAAGTGGTTCTCTTAGTCCCTAGTAAAATAATGTAAGCTGCTATGTTAAACCAAAATATTACCATTATAAAATACTCATATATCCAAGAGGTGACTTATTAAAATCTGGATGTACCCAGTGATATTTTCAATTCACATAAAATATTTCTATCACATTCATTTGTTCAGTCAGTTCTTCGACAAACACTTTTTGAACAATAATTATTAGCCAGGCCTTGCTAGATGATGAAGCTGCAAAAGTAAACAAGATAATGAGACAATCTCCTTGGTCTCTTGAAGCTTACCAAATATACTGTACTGTATATTTTAACATCACATACTAATGATGCAACAGTGACTTTGCCTCCAAAAATGAAAATGCACAATCTCTTCTCCCTTTCTATTACTGAATCACCAGTATTGACACATAGGTTCCAAGTCAAGAAATCGGGATAAAGAACCCAGTGGTTTCTATGGCTGAAGAACCAAGAAATAGTATGACTAAATCCTTATAATATCTTTTGTGGCCTCTCTAAACTCCACTAGCTTCAAGCTCTAACAGACACAAGTACTCAGAGAAAAATTCATCTTTGTTGGATTACTTTTAGCCAGCTCAAAGGCCCTTTGATGTCGTGAGAGAACCTCCTCAAGAAGTAAAGCCTATGCCAGCCACTTTCTTTAATGAATCTGCTAAGACACAGCACCTTATGAAAAAGCAGAATCTTTGTAGCACAAAAGCACGATGTATGCATGTGACAGAAAGGTCAGTTTAGGTACGTGAAGCATCCAGATGTGCACATTCCAGAGACTTATTTATGGTGTACAACCTTTCTATTTACCTTTCTAAAAGTTAGTGTTACTAATATTTACACTGTTCATAGAAAACAGCAACTTTATTCCTAATCTATCTCAGGTCTGTCTCTGGCTTCGACTCAAAATTTGGATTATTGTATCCTAGCACTTAATCATTCCAAATGCAATTTTTGCCATTCTCTTTGATAAGTTTCTCTATCAGTATCATTGTAATGAAAAATACTAAATCACTAACAGATTTTTGAAAAGTTTAATTTCTCAATGAATTTTCATGATTCTTTTCATAATTTAAGTACATAAAATAACAAACTACATTGAAAAATACATAGTTTTCATGCCATCTATTCTTTAAGTTATTGTTATATGGATGTATTTAAAGCTATGACATTTGATAAGTTCATTAAGAAAAGTATAGAGAGAACTTTAAGGACGAGGCCAGGAACTAGATGCTAATAGCCTTCAAAGTCATGACAATCAAAAATGTCTGCAGACATTGCCAGATGTCATTGGTGGGAAAAAAAAATCCCAGCTACTCAGGAGGCTGAGGCTGGAGAATCGCTTGAACTTAGGAGGCGGAGGTTGCAGTGAGCCGAGATCACACCATTGCACTCCAGCTTGAGGGTCAAGAGTGAAACTCCGTCTCAAAAAAATAAAAATAAAAATAAAAAATCACCCCTCACTGAGAACCACTGGCATAGCTGTTACCACCCCTATACCTGCAGGGATGAGCAGAAGGAACAGCTACAAATGGGATCTAATTAAACTAGAGAGCTTCTGCACAGCAAAAGAAACTATTATCAGAGTGAACAGGCAACCTACAGAATGGGAGAAAATTTTTGCCATCTACCCATCTGACAAAGGGCTAATATCCAGAATCTACAAGGAACTTAAACAAATTTACAAGAAAAAAACAACCCCATCAAAAAGGTGAAGGATATGAACAGACGCTTCTCAAAAGAAGACATTTATGTGGCCAACAAACATATGAAAAAAAGCTCATCATTGGTCATTAGAGAATTGCCAATCAAAACCACAACGAGATACCATCTCACGTCAGTTAGATTGGTGATCATTAAAAAGTCAGGAAACAACAGATGCTGGAGAGGATGTGGAGAATTAGGAATGCTTTTACACTGTTGGTGGGAGTATAAATTAGTTCAACCATTGTGGAAGACAGTGTGGCGATTCCTTAAGGATCTAGAACTAGAAATACCATTTGACCTGGCAATCCCATTACTGGGTATATACCCAAAGGATTGTAAATCATTCTACTATAAAGACACATGCACACATATGTTTACTGCAGCACGTTCACAATAGCAAAGACTTGGAACCAACCCAAATGCCCATCAATAATAGACTGGATAAAGAAAATGTGGCACATATATAACATGGAGTACTATGCAACCATAAAAAAAGGATGAGTTCATGGCCTTTGCAGGGACGTGGTTGGAAACGACGAAGCTGGAAACTGACGAAGTTGGAAACCATCATTCTCAGCAAACTAACACAGGAACAGAAAACCAAACACTGCATCTTCACATTCGTAAGTGGGAGTTGAACAATGAGAACACATGGATACAGGGAGGGGAACATCACACACCAGGGCCTCTCGGGGGGTCGGGGACTAGGGGAGGGATAGCATTAGGAGAAATACCTAATGTAGATAATGGGTTGATGGTTGCAGCAAACCACCACGGCACGTGTATACCTATGTAACAAACCTGCGCATTCTGCACATGTATCCCAGAACTTAAAGTATAATAATAGTAATAAAAATAAGGCAATATGATTTCTTTAAAAACTTATTTTATAATTTTCATTTGTATAAAAGTATGTTTATTGTTTCACATATATTTAAATTGTGCTGTGTTCTCTTTTAGAGAAGGTGAAAATTGGGTTGCCATCTAATGTTAGGGTAAGCTTTGAAAACATTTGAACAGATGTGGCTAACTTGGGTGATTTCATGGTTTGTAAGAATGCCTTGAAGTCTCAGTATTTTAAAAATGAATTCCAAGTAAATTAAAAAGAAATTACTTACATGAATCTATTTTTTTTCTGGCACACTTATTTATATAGATAAATATTCATATTCATAATACTTCCAATGGAATACTGCTGATTATTGAACTGAATGGCTAAGAGCATCATGATTTCCCTAACATTGTAATAATCACAACTGTTGAATTTCTTATTAAATCAAACTTTTTCTTCTTTTAAGTCAGTCTCATTTATCTGTTAGTCATTTTAAAATGGAAGAAAAAAGCCAAACTCATACTTCTTCACCTCCACCCCCACCGAGAGGAAACACTGAGGTTTACAAAAATCACAATTTCATTTTATAAATGGTATTCTCAACACAGAAGATAATTCATTCATAACACTTATTAAGGATGTATTTCTTGAATATCTACTACAGCTTTAGTAGTGTTGTAGGTACTAGGGATAAAAATGGGAGCAGCCATGTATCTTGCATAAAATAGCTTATTGTCTTGTACAGACAGAAAGTTAAATGAGCAATTACAATATAGGGTAGTGATTATTTTGGCAGGTGCATGAAATGCTGTGGCAGTATAAAGCAGGGTACCTAACTAAAAGGAACTTAAAAGGCTTCTCAAAGTAAATAAAACTTAGGCTGAGTTCTAAAGGATTAAGTTAACCCTGAAAGATGGAAGGGGGAATAGAGAATGCAAGAGAGAAGGAACGAATATTCCAGAAGAAACTGTACATGTTAAATCCCAGAGCACATGGTAGGTACTAGAAATTTAAATGAGTTTGGCATAGCTGAGCATAACTGGATGAGTAATGGCAGTGAGACAAGGCTGAAAGGCTAGACAGAGGACAGGTCTTACACAGCTTCATAAGCCATGCTAAGTCATTATCCTAAGGTCAGAGACAACCCTTGGAGAGGTTTTAAGCAAAAAACTGACCTGACTGCATCTGTATTTTAGAAACATCATTTTGGATGAATGATGGAGAATGGGCCCAGATTAAGTCTAGAAGCAAAAAGAACTGAGCAGTTGCTGGAGGAACCTAAGCAGAAGGTGAAGGTTTCTTTCCCAAGCTGGCAAGTAGCAGTGGGGATGGAGAGGAGAGAGTAAATATTTTGAGAGATTTTCTTCGGAGGCTGAAACTGTAGAGGAGTAAATGTAGTATCTCTTCCTCTCCCATCACAACGTTCATGGTTGAGGACTTTATGACAAAAGATGAATTAGAAGAGA